GTGCATCCGCCTGGTTGTTTTCTGATCTCGGCACTTGGGTCAGATGGAAATCCTCAAGGGAGCCGACTGCTTGTCGGACCGCCTGTAAATACTTGATCATGGCCGGATGGGTTGCTTCGTATTCGCCATTGTACTGACTCACTATCAATTGTGAATCGGAACAGGCGTCTATTTTTCTTGCTCCTGCCGCCTTGCACATGCGGATTCCGGCTAGTAAAGCTTCATATTCTGCCTCATTGTTTGAGGCCTGAAAACTGAAGCGTAAAGCATACTCGTACCTGTCGCCCTCTAGCGACTGACATATGACTCCTGCTCCACAACCATTTGAAGTAGAGCTTCCATCCACATATACCTTCCAGACTTGGTCTGTAACTTGAGAGTCCGGAGGACGAGTCATCTCAACAATAAATTCAGCAAAGGCTTGCCCCTTCACTGCTTTTCTAGGCTCGAAAGTAACTTCGAGGCTCTGTATTTCTATGGCCCATTTGATCATTCGGCCTGACGACTCCATGATGGTCAGTGGCCGCTTGATAGGTTGGTCTGTATACACGACGACTGCATGTGCCAAAAAGTAGGGCTTCAATTTTTTAACAGCCATGAAGAGTGCAAGACCAAATTTCTCCACTAAGGGATACCTCAACTCGGCATTTTTCAGTACATGACTAACAAAGTAGACCGGGAGCTGACAGCCGTCTCTTTCAGCAAGGAGAACAACGCTTAACACATGATCAGAGACGGCCAGGTACATGTAGAGTACTTTTTTGGGCAAAGGGCTGACCAGCCTCGGCAAGGAATGCAAGTGAACTTTCAATTTCTGGAAGGCCGCCTCAGCATCCGGCCCCCATTCAAACCTTGTCTTTTTCTTAATTGCCTGGAAAAAGTATAGGCATTTTTTGCCTGATCGGCTTAGAAATCTTCCCAAGGCCGCCAGACAACCTGTTAACTTCTGAACCTCTCGGATGGTACGAGGCGACTGCATGTCAATGACCGCCTGTACCTTCTCAGGGTTCGCCTCTATTCCTCTCTGATTGATAAGGAATCCGAGAAATTTCCCAGACTCAACTCCAAAGACACATATCTTGGGATTGAGCATGACATGGTGCCGCCTGAGTGTGGCGAAAGTTTCTCGGAGGTTCGACAGATGATCTTTCTGAAGTTTAGACTTGACAATCATATCATCAATATATGCCTCGACATTTCTCCCAATTTGATCAAAGAACACAGTGTTTATCATTCGCTGGAAAGTGGCCGGGGCATTCTTAAGACCAAACGGCATGATCGTGTAACAGTATAACCCCTGATCAGTGACGAAGGCCGTCTTCTCCTGATCTTTCTTCCATAAAGGAATTTGATGGAAACCAGAGTAGGCGTCCATAAAGCTCATCAAAGCATGGCCGGCTGTTGAGTCGACCAGGTTATCAATTTTAGGCAGAGGGTAACTGTCTTTGGGGCACGCCTTGTTTAAGTCTGTGTAGTCTACACACATTTGCCAGGTGCCATTCGGCTTTTTAACAAGGACCACATTTGCAACCCAGTCTGGGAAGTAACATTGCCGAATGAACACTGCATCAAGTAATTTTTTAACTTCGGCGGCTGCCGCCTGACTTCTTTCTTCGCCATGGTTCCGCTTCTTCTGCCGTACCGGCTTCTTTTTCGGATCCACGGCCATTTTATGTACCGCCAGATCAGGACTAATGCATGGCATTTCATGGACTTCGAATGCAAAGATGTCCTTGTATTCTTTCAATAGTTTGTGAAAGTCGTCACCTAGGTCCCTTAGAGAAGTCGTCCCAACCTTGATTGTTCTGTCAGGACGCGAGTCATCTAACATCAGGTACGTATGCTCACCAGCTGGCTGAGGGCGGAATTCATCCGACCGCTCCTCTACTAATGATTGCTATTTTCTGTCTTTTCTTGCGGCCCCTGTCTGGGATGCCTTTCTCTTCTTGCCGCCTGCTTCTTGAACAGGCGCACTCTCCTTGACATTGTTAAGGTCTATTTTTCCACCACTCGACCCAGTGGCCATAACAGTGGGCTTGACATCCGAGAGATAGCACTCTCGGGCCATCCTCTAATCTCCCCTTAGGGACCCGACTGTTCCATTATCCCTCTCAAACTTGAGCAACATAAGAGATGGGATTATAACAGCCTTGGAATTATTCAGGGTTGGTCGTCCCAGAATCATGTTGTAGGCCGAGAGTTCTTCTACTACCAGGAACCGGACTACCATGTGTCGTCCTTCCCCTTTTTCGCCCAGGCGGATGGGTAAATCCACTCGTCCCACTGGGTGGACGACTCCTCCTCCAAACCCTCCTAAAGGGTGGGATGCCGGATGTATGCAATCAGTATGATATTTTAGTTTCGACAGACATTTGCTACTGATGAGATCTGAGGAGCTTCCGGTATCTATGAGGATTCGGCCAACTCTCTCGTTGGCCACTTTACATTCAATAACGACAGGGTCGTCATGCGGCCCTCTTACCCCTCCTAGATCTTCTTCAGTGATGACAATCTCAGGAAATGAATATTTGGAGGGCCGTTCTTGGTGAACGGAATTTACATCTAACCGTCTGATATTGTCTTTGTTGCCCCTAATAGTAGGGCCGCCTCCTGAGAAGCCGCCTGCAATGGTGTAGACGACTGCATCATCTGTATCGGAGCTGTCGGCCTGTTGATTCTTTTTGGTCGACTGCTTTTTTGAGGAAGTGTTCCCCGTAGATTTCTTGACATAAGTGTCAAGATCACCTTGCTCAGCCAGGCGGTCCAGATACCGCATGAGACTGATGCATTCATTGGTGTGATGACCAACATCTTCATGATAATCACAGAATTTTTCTTGGTTCCGATTGTTTGTAGAACCCTTCATGGGGACCGGCTTCTCAATTGAGATCCGTCCCTTGATTTCCTTTAGGATAAATTGGCTATCCTTGTTAAACACATACTTTTGGGAGTATGGTTTGAATTCTTTTCTCTTCTTCTGGGACGGCTGTTTAGAGGAATCAGTTGCCCAGACCTCTTTTCTCTTCTCGTCTTTGTTTGACGACTGCTTCTGTTGTCCTTCTCTTTTGTCGGACCTTTTCCCGTCTGACTGTTTTACCGTACTACAAATATCAGTCGTCTGTATATAGGCTTCCGCTTCAATCAAGGCCTCTTGAAGAGTCGCCACCCTCTTTCGGACCAAATCAAATTTGAAGGTCGACCCGTCTCTGAGACCTCTGAAAAAGTCAGTATAGGCTACTTCATCCGGTAACCCTTGAATCTGTATTCTCATCAGGTTAAACCGCCTGATGTAAGAACGAAGCCCCTCCTTCTCGCCCTGCTGAATTGTTCCTAAATCAAGGGTCGTCTTCTTCGCAGGGATGTTCATGGCGAAGTTGGAGGTGAATAAGTAAGCAAGCGTCTTGAAGTTATTTACACAACCAGTCGGCAGGTTGCCGAACCATTGTTGTGCGATTCCTTTGAGAGTCACTGGGAAACACTTGCACCAAGTGGGATCATCCAACCCTTGAAGGTACATCAGGTTGGTGAATGCCATCAGATGGTCTTCTGGGTTAGTAGTGCCGTCATAGGCGCCTACTAGTACTTTTTTCACTTTGGCCGGCTGAGCGGCTTCAGTAATTTCCTTGGAGAAGGCCGACGGCTGTTCACCAAGTCTAAGCAACCGTAGCTGCCAGTCCATAGGTTGGACAGTTTTTGCTGCATGTCCACCAAACGGAGGTGGCTGTAAAAAATATTGTTGTTGCGGTACAAACGGTAAGTTTGGTACCGCCTGGTCGCTATGAAAGCCGGACTGACGGGAGGTGCCGCCTGACTGACTATCATGATACGACTGAGTATGCCTCAACGAGGTATTTCGCAGACTGTCTTGGAAGTTTGAAGTAGAGGCCGACTCTGACAATCGGTCACTCTTCTTGTGCTCTAGCAGTAGCCGAGCGTCTGTGTATGTTTTCCTCGACCCGTCCGCCTGAATATGACGAACAGGTTTCCTATTTCCTGGAGTAGGAAAACGGTATTTTGTGAAATCAAGGGCAGGTGGCTCCCACTTCCTAGATTTAGGATGAGGGGTCGCCTCTCGCCCTTGAACTGGATTCCTCTTCCGTGAAGTGGAGGGTTTCTTAGCCGACTGCTCCTTGTCCAGAGCAGGCGGCTTCTTGTTGATCAACTCTTGAATTTCTCCCTTGAAGTCCCTTATGAAGTTCATGAGTTCGTTCCTTGTGATGGGAGCAGACCCATCAGTCGGCTGCTGCCGAACAGGCGGTGCGCCTGCTGGCTCGCTTCCAGTTTGAAGATGTTCCCGTTCCCTCCTTTCGGTATGACGGGTACGTCGGGCCCTTAGGGTCCCGTCTGAAGCTGTGTGAGCTGCAACTTCAAATTCATTCTCAGTATCGTGGTCCGACTGAACTAGAGGGTCGTCCAGGGGACGTCTCTCTTCAGGAGCCGGTACAAACGTGGATGCCATCTCAGAAGTACTCTCCCCACAGACGGCGCCAAGATGTTTATGGGTTTTCTGATGTCCTGCGGGAGACTTACAATTCCGAGACTGGAACCGGACGCCTGTACCTACAAAACAAACGGATGCTCCAGATGATTGGAGATCCGCCTCCGACGGTCAAGTTAGTACTTGATTAAGGAGTAATTAATGCGGAAATTAAAGTGATTGGGTCTCTCTAGGTGAGAGTGTTTAATGTGTGTAATCTGCGTTTTTAGCGTAATCTCTCTTAATGAGGATTAAGGGAGGTATTTATAACCTCGGGAAACGTGTCAATCTAGGTTTAGGTTAACCTTGGGCTGATTGGGCTTCCCTGAGAATTTGGGCCTAGGTGACCGGTTATCCCAGGTGTCATGGGAAGGACACGTGTCGTGTCGTAATTGGTCCATAGTGGACGGATCATTGCTTGACACGTGGCAGGCTCCTTTTGGCCCATGTGACGGACACATGGCGGAATCTGATTGGTCCACTTGTCAGATGGTGATTGGTGGGGAAAAATCCCCTAATCATGTATCATCATGTGTGTTGAATGAGTTCATCAGAACCAAAGGCACTTTGGATCCATACTTGCTGTTAAGGCTCTGTGTATCATCAAAAAGAGGGTAAGAGCCAAAAAGAATCATAATATAAAAAAAAAAGCAGAATGCAGTACCTCAATTTGCTTAACTATAAGGTTATGGAAAGTCAGGCAATTACGAACTTCGATGACAGACCTGCACCAGATTAAAAAAACAAAAGTTAGTATTCAAAGTTATGCTCACACACCAAGAAGCTCGAGACCACATTTAATGACTGAGACAGAATTTTCTGCTTAGTAAAATCAGCAAATGTACCCTTCAACATATTCTGAAATACAAACATTTACAAAGTAAAAGAGGTAGTTTGATAAACTGAAGAAAACATTGTCAATAAATAAGATTGGATCCAAATGATAGTAAATTTGAAACTCAATCTTCCAACCACGCAAGATCTAACATTGTACTTTTGGCACTTGCTATGGATTTTGTAGTCTAGAACATTTTTGCATTATTGTAAGTCCATTGTTCCTTAAAACAAAAACCTCCTTTACCACTATATTAGTGGATAAAAAAGTCTGATCAGTCTTAAAGTTAGCTTTGAATCAGCCAAATACTATAGATTATTAATGCATCATGATCACAAGTCACATTAGAACTTGATTGGCTATTACATTATGATAAATTATGGTTCAACTTCCTAGCTTGTTCAAATATCATACTTCTAATATTGAAAACGTATAAAATATCGATACTTAGGTCATGTATTAACATAACAGCACATATGAAATTTACAAGCAAAATCACTACAATCATACGATCCAACCAATAAACTAAATGTGTCAGATCTTAAAATCATAAATCAACGATCAAAAGTACAAAATTCAACTAAATAGTAGCAAAACCAAATTTCATGATCTACGTTAAAACGACATACTTAGGACCAGACCTCCAAATGCATGATATAATACAAAAGGAGCGAATTGTGGGAGTATGTACACCGGCCAAAAACTACTCATCAGACAAAAAGCTCAGCATTCAGCAACAAACAATATCCAATGAACAATTAATGAATTACAATTCATCACCTAATACAAAACCAAATTGAACCACCCCTTACGTCCTTACCTAGTCATCCCTGGAAAGGAAGAAACACTCAAGAACAAAGCTTGAAGGGTTGAAGCTTGACAATCCAGTACAATCTATCTTATATTCTTAGTAGTCAGTACATAAATCTACAAAATTAACACCACGAAACCAGCTGAAAGTTCCACCCAGCATACATACCAGTAGTTGATAGCAAATTCAGCAACACACATTTCTCACTTATCTAGACAATCCACGTCTTTTTCCTAAGGCAAATATGGGTACTCTAAAACACAATTACCATGTTTTACATTCACATTATCAACCCCAACTTGACACCACAAAAAAAGTTGTAATTCGAGTATTCGTATTCCATCCATCAATCATAGTTGAGAGCACTCTAGTAAAACAAATTTCTTACCTTTCTAATAAACAACATAAATCAATATTCCCAAATTACAACACAACACAGTTATATCAAATTCAAATTCCTAAAACCCTAACAAACCAAAACAAAAGGGAATTACCAAAAATCATTAAAAATCACTAAAATCAGAAAGAGATAAAAAAGAATAGAAAAATAACCATGAAAAAATGAAGAAGAAGATAGCACAAGTAGTGGACCCACCAACTTTAAGTAAGATCAACCCAATTCGTATTCCACCCATCAATTGCAAGTTGTAACAATTGCAATTGCATAATCAAATCAAAGATTGCATATCTTACCAGAAAACCCGATTACACCGTCGTCTTTGCAAAATCAATTTACATTGACATTGTAAGAAGAACTAAACCCTAAAATTGAGTTCATGAAACTTGAAATTGATCGCATTTAAGACAAAGAAAGTCTCAATTCAAGCAATAATGATGATGGAATAGAGAGGAGAAAAAAAAGGAGAAAAAATTTGAGGATTTACCTCCGGCCAATAACTTATCTGAGCAATAATCAAACGGAACTCTATAATCCAGCAGAAAAATCATAAAAGGTTAGAACGATTTAGGAGATTGCGAGATGAAGAAGATAACCAAATGGATGAAGAAGATGGAGAAATGGAGAAAATGGGAAAATGGTGATGAGAAATTGAGAATGGGGAAAATGGAGAAAAAGGGGAAAGGTACTGTACGTGAGAATTGTGAATAGAGGGAAGCAAATTAAAGAAACGTGTTGTTCAAAATACTGGTGAAAAAAATAGAGGGAAAATGCGCGCTTCATTCTAAATTTTTTCATGATACAACATACCGTTGCAATAGCTCTCATTTTTTTAAAATAGTTAGGCTATTGCAATGGTTCTTTACAGCCGTGGCAATAGCTCTACCTCTAAGAACATTAGTGTTAAATTGGAGGCAATAGCCTACTCTATTGCAACGGCAATTAGAATACCGTTGTATTAGCCTTTATTAGGCCGTTGCATTTGGTCAAAAATGTAGTAGTGCCTCTCCCTTGAGGATAGGGAGGCAGTTAGAGGAGTCGGCACCCTAAACCTGGACGACATCCTCGCTCTTCTCGCAGAGGTATACTTGTAAAATTTTTACTTCTTGTTTGCACAACCTTTGAGCCGCCTGTTATTGACGTCTTCTCTTTGGCTAAATGCAGTCTATGCTGCGAGTACATGGTCTTCGCAGGCCTATTAATGATTAGACCAAAGAGGTAAAGTCTGCGAAAGCTCGAGCCGCCTCTGCTCTAGACACAGTTATATTTCAGATTTCTGAAAATGAACTTCTGACCACTGACATAGTGTATTATCAGGCGACTGCCAATTTGCAGGTCAAATCTGATTTGGAGGCGGCTTAAAAGCGGATCTTAGAGCTGGAGGCGTCCGTGAAAGACCTCAAGGCTAAGCTCGAGCCCCTCAAGGAGGCGGACAAGGAAGTAGACGCACTCCGCACCCGGGTGGACAGGCTCAAGGTCCGCCTGCAAAACCAGGAAGTCCAACTCGCCAAAAAGTATAATTCAAGGGCTGAGGAGGAGAAGGCGGGCTTGGTCAAAGACATGATGGACGACTGCAATGCCATCATGAAGATGACTTGGGGGGCTCTCTTCCCAGAGACCAGCTACGAGAGCTGGGAGCGTCAGTTCGCCGGCTCCTCCAAAGAGTATAATGATCGGATCATGAACCAAGCCCAAGAGGGTGAGGAAGAGGAGGAAGAGGAGTCGTCAGATTCTGCCTCAGATGAGTCGGACCAAGAGGAGGAGGAGGCGAATGCTGAAGAGGAGAAAGAGCCGACTGGGGAACAGAAGGATGTGGCTCCTGATAATGAAAAGCCTCCTCCAAAAGCTTAAGTCCCTGGGTGATTTTTCTGCGGTCGAATGGCCATGTATCTCTTCTTCGGCCTGCGTGCCGCGTGTTTTCTTGTAACTTTTACCGACCAAGGGGTAGGGTTTATTAACATTTCTCATTGTTGTACCGGTCAACAATTTTTGTCGGCCATAAGGCCGACTGCATTTATGAATCATCTGGTCAATTGGCAGGACACCATTCCTTTCAATCTCCCACTTATCCTTCCGGACAAGTGTGGAATTTGTGTATAGCCCTTTTCCTATATCGCTTAATGTCTCTTCATGAACTATAAGATAAGATTTTTCGTCATCCTTATTACGTCCAAAAATTGTTTCTCGATTCCCGAGTTTGACTGTCAATAAACGGATGATTTCTAAAATCCATTTGAGCACGGCCATGCATTTTCACAGTCTTGCTCTTCGAGAGGCCTTGTAAACAACAAAGACACGTTCTCTATTGTTAATAGGGGGACATTCCCAGTCTTGTACTGTAAGCTTCCATTACTAAGAGGACCTAGTCGCCTGAGTGTTGTCGTTATAATCCCCATTTACAGCAGACGTTTAACAACATCAAAACGACTAGTACTCAAATAAGAGAACTTGCAATACTCATGGTCGAGGAAAAAGGTTCCGATAGCTATAATGAGAAATATACTTATGACGATTTGATATTTCTTAAAGTATTCTCATATCCGGTATAGTTCCAAACTTGTACTTGTGCAAATGATTTATGCCTATCATATCCTTGTAGCACAAGAAACGGTGCTATAAATCATACTACACACTAATCTCAAGTGGTCATTAATCTTCCATCGTTTAAATGACCTCGAATAAGGATAGTTTTCGATTAAAATATTCAATGTTCACTTAAACAGGTGTTTCTTTATCCAAGAAATGGTCTTGATACCCTGTTTTGAATATTCTCAAAATTGAATAGACTCATTATTTAATTCTAAACCACAATTAAATAGATATGGAGTAATCATAAATTTGCAGAAAATTTAATTGCTCCAAAATTGAGTGGTTCAACATAGTGTTTTACATTAAGCCATCGAGTTTAATTAAAACATCTATACAGGGAAATCAAAGCCAATCTCTAATATGCTTGATTCCCATTCCCTCAACGTGTTTGTTGTGCTTCACTTGAGACAAAGGTTTAGTCAGAGGATCGGCTACATTGTCGTCCGTTCCAATCTTACAAATTCTGATTTCACCTTTGGATTTCCATTCCCTTATCATGTGAAATCGCTGCTTGACATGTTTGACCTTCTGATGTTCCCTTGGCTCCCTGACCTGAGCAATAGCTCCGTTGTTATCACAATAGAGATCTATTTGACCCTTAATTGAGGGTACAACACCAAGTTCACTAATGAAATTACGAATCCAAACTGAATCCTTAGCTGCTTCCGAAGCTGCCAAGTATTCGGCTTCAGTTGTAGAATCTGCAGTGGTGCTCTGCTTAGCACTCTTCCAACTAAACGCTCCTCTATTAAAGCAGAATATGTATCCCGACTGCGACTTAGAGTCGTCTCTGTCAGTCTGGAAGCTCGCGTCAGTATAACCTTCAACAACCAAATCATTACAACCACCATAGACTAGGAATTTATCTTTGTTCCTTTTCTGGTACTTTAGGATATTCTTGGCCGCAGTCCAATGCGCCTCTTCTGGGACTGATTGGTATCGGCTCGTAGCACTCAAGGCATACAATACATCTGGCCTAGTACATATCATGACATACATGATCGATCCAATAAGCGAAGCATATGGAATCTGACTCATTCTCTCACGCTCATTAGGCGTCTGTGGACACTATTCTTGCTGATAGTTATGCCATGGGACATGGGTAGGTGCCCTATCTTGGCCCCTTCCATGTTGAATCGTGTCAGTACCTTATCTCTATAAGTACTTTGGCTCAATCCAATCATCCTCTTAGATCTATCCCTATAGATCTTGATGCCCAATATGTACTGTGCCTCTCCCAAGTCCTTCATTGAAAAGCACTTTCCCAGCCAGCCCTTTACGGACTCTAACAGTTTAGTGCTGTTTCCAATGAGTAATATGTCATCGACAATAAGACTAGGAATGTGATGTCACTCCCACTGACCTTCTTGTAGACACAAGATTCATCTGGATTCTTGATAAAATCAAACTTGCTAATGGCTTCATCGAATCGCAGATTCCAACTTCTACTTGCCTGCTTTAGTCCATAAATGGACTTCTTAAGCTTGCATGCCTTCCCGGCATTGCTTGGATCAACAAAACCTTCCGGTTGTGTCATATACACAGTTTCTTCCAAAATCCCATTAAGGACGGCGGTTTTGACATCCATTTGCCATATTTCATAATCGTAATATGCAGCAATTGCTAGGATGATCGGGATGGACTTAAGCATTGCATCTGGTGAAAAGGTTTCATCATAATCAACTCCGTGAATTTGCCTGTAACCTTTTGCCACCAATCTAGCTTTATAAATAGATACATTTCCAGCTTTATCTATTTTCAATTTGAAATTCCATTTGCAACCAATAGGTGTGTAACCTTTGGGCAAATTAACCAAGTCCCAGACTTGATTTTCAGACATGGAGTCTATCTCGGATTTCATGGCCCCTTGCCATTAAGCAGAGTCGGGGCTCGTCATAGCTTGTTTGTATATTGTCGGCTCATCTCCATCCATAACTAGGATGTCTTGATCTTCGGTTAGAACAATACCAAGGTATCTATCTGGTTGAGATCTTGGTCATTGCGACCTACGCAGGGTAATAGGTTGAGCATTTGCATTGTCGGTTTGACTCTGACCAATGTCAACAAATGCTTCTAAAGCACTTTGATTGTCAGTTTTGTCATGTTGACTTTGTTGCTCTACCTCTCGAACTTCGTCGAGTTCGATTTTCCTCCCACTTGTCATTTTGGAAAGGTGTTCCTTCTCCAAAAAGACACCATCACGAGCAAGAAAAACTTTTTTCTTTGATTTATTATAGAAGTAATACCCCTTGGTTTCTTTTGGGTAGCCCACAAAGAAACACTTGTTTGATTTTGGGTGAAGTTTGTCAGAAATTAATCTCTTGACATATGCTTCGCAACCCCAAATCTTAAGAAAAGACAACCTCGGAGGTTTTAATGTTTTTGGTAACTCTAGGAACATGATAGCAATTGTCAAGTTCTAAAACAAGCCCTGAGGGCAAAGACAAACTGAGAGTTCTAACTGATACGACAAACATCCTTGCTCCATTGCCGACCCGAAGCTCGACCTCTCCCTTCTCTAGCCTCCTATTTATCCTTAGTCCCTAGGCATTGGAACAAAGGTGTGAGCCACATCTGGTATTTAATACCCATGATGTTTTGCTAGCCAAGTTTAAGTCTATAACAAAAATACCTGAGGAAGAAGCAACGGTGCCGTTCTTCTTATCTTCCTTGAATATGAGGCAATCCCGCTTCCAATGTCCCTTCTTCTTGCATTAAAAACATTCGCAATCGGATTTAGAAGAGGCTACCTTCTTGTCCTTTCCACTCTTAGGAGCACCCTTGACTTAGGTGGAAAGTTCTTCCTCTTTTTCCCTTTAAAGCTTCTCTTCTTGTCCGAGCGCTTAAATGGCTTGCCTTTCTCACCATGAGCATGTCATGCTTTCCCTCATCTTTGAGGGTTTGGTCGGCCTGCTTCAACATACCATGAAGCTCGGTGAGAGTTTTCTCCATGCTGTGCATATTATAGTTCATCTTGAACTGATCATAGCCTTTGTGCAGCGAGTGGAGAATGATGTTAATTGCCATCTCGGTCGAATACCGAACATCTAGCCTTTCCATGTTCTCAAATAATCCAATCATTTTAATAACATGCGGGCTGACTGCTCTCCTTTCTTGAGCTTGCTCTCAAGGATCTGCCTGTGGTTTTCGAACCTTTCAGTTCGGGCCTACTCTTGAAACATATTCTGAAGTTCAGAAATGATCTCAAAAGCCGTCTCCTTTCCAAAGAAATTCTTTTGAAG